AAAAAATAGTTTCTAGTTTCAGGTCAGAGAAACTCAGCGCAAAGTAAGCCTATACAGAAGGAGACGTTTATTGACTAATACAACCTGTAAGCTCAGGTCTGGATCTAAATGCTCAGCAGATGTTAGGGATCTCTTCTTTCCTCTCCTTTTTTTCTTTCTTGCCTATATTTATTTCAGGAAGTTTTCAAGTAGTGGTCAGTTGTGGTCCCAGTACCTTTGGCTTGCATTCTAACTACTTCAGCATGTACCTCCCTTTGAACCAAATGTTCTTGCCAGGGGTTGGAACCCTCTTATTGGCCCGTATATCTGAATCAAAGAACAGGGCCCGGCACTTTGAAACCAGAGAGAGAATGATAGCTTCTGAAAGAAAACTCCACGTAAGGAAAGAACGGTGGCTTGGAATGATCTGCTTCACCCTTGTCTCAAAGATTCTGTAGATCATGTCGCACCTTAAAATAAGAAAATGGAATAATGTTAGAAATCTTAAATATTCTCTGAGGGAAGTACAAAGCAAGATATGCATATAGTGAAGAAAGTAATAAAATTAGCACATAAACACTTCCTAGTGTCCACTCACTTAGATTAATAACTCATTAGACTAATTTCAAGTCCTCCTCAGAACAGATTACCTCATTCTTGATGACACCTAAATAGAACTGCAGTTTAAAGTTTAATTCAAGTCCTTATGGAAATGTGAAACCATCTTAATTTTTTAGCCATTGAAGAAAGATAGTCACATTAAGATTATTAAGCAGTAGAAAAAGAAGATGAAAGTATAAATGAATGAAACGGGGACACGGCAAACTATTTGGATTACTCATCAAAACACTGTAGAAAATCAGAGCTAGTGTTTTGAGTGGTCTTTAGGGTCAAATCTGGGTTTTGGTAGCTGAATAGATGTGAGATTCAAAGATGAATACTGTAAAATGGATTTAATGTTGTCTTCCTATGTGTGCTTGTGTTTAGCCAGGTAATTAAAACCCAAGCTGGTACATGGAGCTTCAGCCTCTCCTTGCTGCCTAAAGGCCTTTGCATGGTGCAGGGCTTCACTCTGTGCATCCTCACTGCCTCTCAGCAGTGGGCCAGCTCTGGCCACACACTGCACTTGATCTATGTATTATTTACTTGTCCACAGCTCTTTTCAAAAGGACTAAGCATATAAATGCTGTGTTAATCACATTCTACCCATCACCTGGGGAAACCTAAAATGTTGAGAACCATTTATTACTGTGCACAAATGTGTACCAAAAATAGAGGCCAAGAGAAAAATATCTGAACCTCATCAGCTACTAACTTGACAACCCAGTCTTAGTGACTTTCGTTTAGTCTCTTTTAATTAATTTTATTTTAGAGTTTTTGTGATGGGGGTCTCATTATGTGGCCTGGGGATTAACTTTGACCCAGAATGCCTCCACTTCACAATAGCTAGAATTACAGGCATGTTCTACTTGTATGCTTTATACAGCTTAAATTTTTTTAATTTAATCTTTTGACTAGAAATAAATTCATATGGTTTAGAAGTTTATGTTGTTAAACAGCAGCAGCAAGCAGCAGGAGCAACAGCAATGATCCTCATCCATCTCCTTCCTGTCTGCTCTTTCTTCTAACTCACTTGCTATGCTATCTTTTGTTTGTTTGCTTGTTTTTTGAAGCAGGGTTTTTCTGTGTAACAGCTCTAGCTGTCCTGGAACTCATTCTGTAGACTGTGCTGGCCTCGAGCGCACAGAGTTCCACCAGCCTCTGCCTCCTGAGTGCTGGGATGAAAGATGTGCACCACCACTGCCTGGTGCTATGCTGTCTTTTAGCTCCATCACTGACAGTGGCAGCTTGTGTGTCAAAGTTGCTGAATAAGGTGCTCTATGTGCAGTTTACATTAAGTTTAACCATTTTTAAACTTAAGGATACTCCTTAGTGCTGATATTCTGTAACAATTCTTCAAATTAGTGTGACTTTACAACCCACTGCAGTATTTTCTTAATATAGAGAAATAAAATTCCACCTCTTCCTGCATTTGCACAACTATGTTTCCATAGCTGTTACTTAGTAGTTGTACATTATTTTGTATTTTTAATATCTTTTGTGTAACTGCACTTACTGTTTTATCCTCATTAGCATTCTATTAAGAAGGTACATTTTATTGTTCTCATTTTCCTAAAGAAACAAATTGAAATTTTGTATTTTGATTATCAGAATTTAAATATAAGTTTTGGTTACTGAGTGTGTGATTTTTTTCTCTCTGTCCAAAATCTTAAATAGCTAATCATGATTTCAGGTTTATATCCATTTTTCTGTTTATTTTTGTTTTTGAGACAGGGTCTCTCTTTGTAGTCCTGGCTGTCATGGAACTCACAGATCCACCAGTTTCTGCCACCTGAGCCCTGAGACTAAAGTTGTGTGCCATCACTTCTGGCTGGTTATATCCATTTTGATACACATATAGAGCAAAGAGATAGACGGAGGGAGAGGAGGGGAACCATAACCCATACTCCTGTACTTGCCAGTCAGCACACTTGTTTTTTTTTTTTTAAGATTTTATTTTTTATGTATACAAAATTCTGCTTTTATGTATATCTGCACACCAAATCTTATAACAGATGGTTGTGAGCCACCATGTGGTTGCTGGGAATTGAACTCAGGACCTCTGGAAAAGCAGTCAGTGCTTTTAACCTCTGAGCCATCTCTCCAACCCCCAAGCACACTTGTTTTATATATTGTTTTAGCTTTTCTATTTTCTGGTCACCCAAAGAGAATGTTGGTATCTAGAGTTCTTAACACAATAGAGGTTTAGATGCCATCGGTAAATTAAAGAATAATACAAATACTTTTTTATGAACATCAAATACTAATTTTTAAAATAATTCTTTTTGTTGGTTGAGACTGGTCCTCACATAGACCAGGCTCTCCTTGAACTCTTTTGATATTGGTTGTACCCAAGTACTGAAATTGCAAATGGTTACTGCCATGCCAAAGCTGCTGTTTATTTTTGATGTTTACTATTTTCCTTATATTTCTAAGTTGCTTTTTTCATAAATTATATTGTGTAGTAGAAAAATTACTCATTAGTGGGTGCATTGTTACATATGTGAGTCATCTTTTTTTTTAAAGAAAAGTCAGATCTTTTAAAATTTATCTTTTAAAGTTTCTCTGTGTGCCTTCTCTCCTCTCTTCCCCTCTCTCTCCCCTCTCTTTCCTCCCTCTCTCCCTCTCTCCCTCTTTCTCTTCTCTCTCCCTTTCCCTGTCTCTTCCTCCCCTCTCTCTTCCCCCTCCCTCTCTTTCCCTTTGTCTCCCTCTCTCCTCTCCTCCTCCCCCCCCCCCTCTAGGAATGAGTTTGATCGTCTGGTTCCATCCTGTTTTTTTTTTTTTTTTGATGCCATACATCATGTTCAGTCAGAGTCTCAGGGTCTCTGGTCTGGAACTCACCAAGGTGGCTAGATTTCCTGCCTATAAATCCAGGGATCTGCCTGTCTCTACTTGCCCAGTGCTGAGATTATAAGCACATGCATGGTTTCCTGGTGCATATATATGGGGTCGGCTGGAGAGATGGTTTAGAGCACTTGTTGCTCTTGAAGAGTACCTAGGTTCAATTCCCAACACCCATATGGTTTTTCTTAATCATCTGTAACTCCAGTTCCACGGGATCCAATGCCTTCTGGTTTCTGTGAGCATTAGGCATACCTACGGTGCACATACATATATATGTAGGCAAAGCACTTGCACATATGTACATGGGTTTTGGGTCCTTCATGCTTATAAGGCAAGCACCTTACTGATTTAATCATTGCAGCCTGTGTATGTGTGTATGTGTGTGTGGGGGGGGGGCAGGGGAGTGTAGATTTTATCTACTTCTGCCTGGCCTGGAACTAATTGTGTAGCCATGGTTTGAACTTAACAGCAGTCCTGCTTCAGCCTCTTCTGTGGTTTGATTACAGGTGTGGGGCACCATACCTGGTTAGGTTTCCCCTTTAAGTACCATATGAAATTATGTCCTTTAAACATTTGCAATAACTTCATTTTTTTTTTAAGCCATATATTTTTTGCTTTCCTAATTTCTTCAAGGACTGGATAGCACAGGGATGCCCTTTAGGGTAGGTGGAGTCTTTCATTGGTACCACCTGCCGGCTCCCAAATAACCACACAGAGTTCTAATATTATAAATGCTCAGTTGATAGCTTAGGATTGTTACTAACTGGGTCTTACAACTTAAATTAACCCATTTCTATTTTAACTTACATGCTGCCATGTGGCTCATGGCTTGTCTGTTACCTCACCTAAAGTCATGCTTCCTCTGCGTCTCCTTAACTCTGCCCTTCATCGTCCCAGTACCCTCTCTGCCCTGAAAATCCTGCCTAGCTATTGGACAGCCAGCTGTGATTATTAAACCAATCAGAAGGCACCTTGGCAAAAGATACGTCAAAACACTGTACAAAAAGATTATTCCATAGCACTTTATTTAGTACATCTCCTAACAGGTTGTTGTATTTGTTTATCATTCTGCTGCATATTCTTTGTTGGGCTCTAAGGTCAGAATCTCATTTTCTACTGCTTTTTCTGCATAAAGGCAGGATATTTCTCTAGCATGCTGACTCTGATATGCTTTTGCTTAGAAAGTAGGTAAGCAGGTTTGTGAAGAGTTGTGCTGGAGTCCGACTTTGTGAGGAACCTTGGGTATAAAAAACAGTGACAGTACAGAGGCCATCAGCTCTTACTTTGGATATGCATTGGTCTTTGCTTATTGGGTTCATAGATTAGAGCAGTATTTAATCTTTGAATAAATGAGGCGTTTAACCACTACATTTTAAGAATATCTGATATTTTCTTTTGCTATTGTTTTCATTAATTCTAATACTGAGTTAGATAGAGAAACTTGGGAATAATCCAGTTATCATAGCAATCTAGTACAATAACTTCAATGAAATTTTTCTTTTAAATTTGACTTACTTTTTTCCCCCTGTTTATTTCTTTTAAACTTGACTTCCCTTTTGTCTTTTCCCATCCACCAGGGAGTAACTATTCCCAGTCAGAGACGCTATGTGTATTACTATAGCTACCTGTTAAAGAACCACCTGGACTACAGACCAGTGGCGCTGTTGTTCCACAAGATGATGTTTGAAACTATTCCAATGTTCAGTGGCGGAACTTGCAGTAAGTTCTTGAAATTCTCATCCTTCTGTGTGTTGGAAAACTTTTGTTAACGTATCAAAATGTGTATGTAAACATTTAGAATTAAAGTGTCAGAATTCATCAGTTCAGTTGTTCAGCTCATTGGCCTAAGAAAACTAAGAATGGTAAATTTGAGTGTTCTTGAAGTAGTTATATGTATGGGAGAGATGTTCTGTGTTACAACCACCAACTGCAGTCTCCGTTCTGACCTAAAAGCTGAAAGACATGCTTACAGGCCAGCATGAGAGTGGCAATGGATCAGGGTCTTGGGACAGGAACCAAGTCCTTCATCTGAGGAAGACAAATGAAGTGCCACCTGGGAGTGGTCAATCATATTTTATACTTAAGAATATATTTTATCTGTATTTACAATGCAGTGTCGTAGTTTCGGATAGATGTCACTCATTAGATGTTTTGCAATTTGTTAGTGATTTTAGTTTTTAGCTGTAAGCTAAGTTATTTAGGTAAATTTATTTGTTCTCTCTAAAATAATTTATGCAGAGAAAATTAATTTCTTGAACTCATCTATCTTTGTCTGATGGATGTGATTACCATGAGTGTGACAACTTTATCAGAGGGCCCAGATTTATTAATATAGCTTGCCAGAAAGTTCTAAGGAGCATCACTGATCATATCAGTATAATTTTAAAAACTTGAGTAAAGGCACAATGAACTATTGAACATGATTGACCTAGGAACCTCATCAGATTTGTAGAAAAGGAAGAAGGATGTAAACTCATGGGCTTCCTATAGTCTGTGTATCAGTATAAGATCCAAACAGATGATGCAGAGGCAGTAAGGAAAAGCTCTGCTCAGGGATCTTAGCAGGTGCTTACACTGGCCCGAGTCTCACTGAGGTTTCTTGTCAGCTCTACTTTGCCTGTCTATGATTCAATTCTGTTTTGCTTGACTTTTGGGCTCACAATATATTCACATCTCTGGACTTAAAATTATTGACTAATAAATTTTTTTCATCTTTTAAATTTTCTAGTTCCCTATTTATATGCTGGGATTTAATACTGTATATTGAAGTTGTATTAAAATATAACTCATGGGGGTTTGTATGCATAAATTATAAATGCTATGCTTGTGAAAGGTTTTGGAAACTATTTCATAGAGAAAGTCTGCCTTTGGAGAACACGTACAGTTTAGATTGGCATTACGTTTGAAGGAAATATTGCTGGCAATAGGAAATGGTTGAACTGCAGTACAACAGACGGAAACCGAGCTGGACAAGAAATGAAGGTGTGGTTAGCTGTTATAGGATCTTGAGTGAGAGATAATAGACTGGAAATATGGGTGTCATGTTGATTTTAGGGAGTTAAGCCATGTTTTAAGGACAATTGTATACTCTATAGAAAGTTGTGATATAGGAGGGGGAAGTAAAACCAGCTATGTGACTTGCCAAATTTTGCTGGAGCAGTGAAATGGGCTTTGTTTGGTTTTTCTTTTGCTGATCTTACTCAGGTGGCTGATTCACAGAAAGGAGATGAAAAGTACATTTGAAATTTGGAGACATAAGTATTATCACTTTGGCTTTAAAGTTGTTTTAAATGTAATGAAAACAAGCTGTTTATGGAAAGCTCTGTAATGGGGCTAGAGGCTTTGTTTCAGGTGCAGTATTTGAGTAGAACCAGAAAGCACAATGCCCTGCACTCCATCCCCACCTTTTATTTATTTATTTATTTATTTTTAAAAAGATGCTTAGTGGTTAAATTCTTAGTGGGTTCAAGTCTAGGTGGGAGATCATATTTGTTCGGGAGAAACATCAGGAACAAGATAGTAACTTAGCCTTTTGGCTGAGTATGCCGTTAAGGTAGGAAAGGGTAAAGAATGAGAAAAGGGAAGAGTGAGGTGGATTCAGGAAGAAGAGGAGCATCGGTGAAACATTAAACTAGTGATGAAAACTAAAAAGTGTTTCTGCAGTTATCAGGAGCTGGCAGCAGTTTTCTTACTTGAATTTTGTCTTACTATTTCTAAGTGAAGGAAAGTTGTGTATGGGTTATAAGTATTAATTAGGATGACCCATGTATTTGTTGGGAAACATTTCTTTAGAACATAGTTAACATATCAAAGGTTATATTTCAGATGTGTACCTTAGAAATCAAAAGAACTTTAATAATATTAGAGTTTTGATTTTAGGACTTCCATCCCAGTGTGAAACTCATTCCAGAGATTATTTTTCTCAGTGGCTTTAGGAAATGCTTCTGTGTATTCATTTCTCAAAAAAACTTTATGCTGTTTTATTGTACAAGGCAACTAAGGGAACTGTCTTAGTCAGTGTTCCATTTCTGTGAAAAGATACCATGACTACAGCAACTCTGAAAAAAGAAAACATTTAATTGGGTATTGCTTACAGTTTCAGAGGTTTAGTTCATTACCAGCATGGCGGTATGCAGACAGATTTGGTGCTGGAGGAGGAGCTGAGGGTTCTACGTATAGATCTGCAGGCATCAGGAAGAGCAGGCACTGGGCCTGGCTTGAGCTTTTGAAACCCAAAGTCTATCCCCAGTGATATACTTCCTCCAATAAGGTCACACCTACTTCAAGGCCACACCTTCTAATCCCTCTCAAGTAGTGCCACTCCCTGATGACTAAGCAGTTAAATATATGTGCCTCTGGGGCCATTCTTATGCAAACTACCACAGAGACCCAGTTAAAAATCACTCAACAGCTCCCCAAAACACACACTCACGCACGCACGCACAAGTGGCAGAGGGGGAGCCCAGAGTCTTGTGTGCTAGGCAGGTATTCCACTACCTAGCCTCCTCCATGTTCCTATTAGTGTGGCCAATTAAGCTCTGCATAGAGTGTTGAACTGTTTTCTGAATCCAAAGTCCCAAAGTTCACGTTCCGCCAACAAGCAGCATGGTCAGACTAATTATTTTTAGTGAAACATTTTTTTCTGTTTTATTAATGTTTTTCTCAATTAGATTCTTTTTTCTTCTTTTTTGCACCCCCCACACTCCCCCTTCCCGCTTCCCCTCTTCCCTTCCACCCTACTCCTTGGGGGGGGGGGGGCTCTCCAATCAGGAGATCTTGTCTTTTTCCCCTTCCTAGACGGATCCATGTGTCTCTCTCTTAGGGTCCTCTTTGTTGCCTGGCTGGTTGTCCTTTCCTTCATGTCTAATATCTACTTATGAGTGAGTACATACTATATTTGTGTGGTACATTTACACAATGGAGTACTACTCAACGTAGAAAAATCTATGACATCTTGAAATTTGCAGGCAACTAGAAAAACTAGATTGCCGGAACTAGAAAAAGCCATCCTGAGTGACATAACCCAGACCCAGAAAGACAAATATAATTAGTGAAACATTTTTTATCTTATTTTTAGGGGAAGTTCTAAGTAATATGGATTTGTAATTAACTTGTCGATTGTTTATTATGACAGTTGGAGATTTATACCTTGGATGCTGTTTAGTTGAAATCCAGATTATACCATCAGTTTTCAAATCCTAAAACCTGTAGTATCTGATTCTGAACTAGTAGAATAATAGTTCCTTAATAAGATTATAAGGCATTTTATTCCAATAATTTTTACCACAACATTGAAACCATGCTTTGTTCATTTGTTTCATGTTAACTTCGTTATTGTATGGAGCTTTGCAAATGTCTTATTGCACTTTGAACCTTTAGTCAAAGAAGTGAAATGTTTGGCAGATTATTGGTGTAATGTTCCTCTCTTTTGGGTGGATTTCATGATAAATGTCTTGTAAATCCATGTTAGGATAAGCCCACGTGCTTTGTTAAGGGTCCCGTTTTCTATGATATGATTGTTGCGTTACTGGTTTTATATGTTGAATACATAGACCTCTATATATTTATTAATTTAGAATAATTTAGAAATTTCACTTAGATTGGTTTAACTTTCACATTTTCTCAGTCATTGGTCATAATAGATTAAAAATTCCTCATCTTGAAAGAAATAATACCTTTTTTTTTTTTTTTTTTTTAAAAATGAGTTTTTGAGACAGGGTTTCTCAGTGTAACAATTCTGGCTATCCTGGAACTAGTTTAGTAGACTAGGCTGGCCTAGAACTGGGATTAAAGTCATGTGCTACTACCGCCTGGCTAGTATTGATATTTTTCTGTCACATAAGTCCTCTAATTTGAACATATTAGTGTCCTGTTTCTTTCTAGCTGTAAATGAATTTGAGTACATTTTAGAAATAAAATGCAAGAGAGTGGCAGCACATACCTTTATTCCTAGCACCTGGGAAGCAGAGGCAGGGGGATCTCTGTGAACTTACTGTTTATGAAGTAGTAATTGATTTTCCTTGCATTCCTTTACATAAGGTTTCAAAGAGGAGTGATCGCTACTTGGAATGAGTGGTTATGTTTTAAACCAGTTTATTTCTATTGATTTGTTTTAGATCAGCAGTCTGTATGAAGAATTATTTTATGTTTACTTCCATTACTTTGTCATTAAAATAGTTTCTGATAATTTGAATGTTAAAGGCATTTCCTGTGAAATGATCATGTATGTATTTAACCATGTAGATCCTCAGTTTGTGGTCTGCCAGCTAAAGGTGAAGATATATTCCTCCAATTCAGGACCCACACGACGGGAAGACAAGTTCATGTACTTTGAGTTTCCTCAGCCATTGCCTGTGTGTGGTGACATCAAAGTAGAGTTCTTCCACAAGCAGAACAAGATGCTCAAAAAGGTTTGCACTTGAGTTCTATCTGGTAGAAATAGCTGTGCCATGAGTAACCTCAGACCTTTTTCTTAAGGAGATTGAGATACAGTATTTCTTTGCCGCCCACCGAGTTTTGATGGATTTCTTGTTAGGTTTGCACACACCTTGCCTCATCTGTGACATTGATGGAACATGAAAGCAGAGCCTTTGTGGATTTTTGTTTTTGTTTTATTTGTTTTGTTTTGTTCTGTGATCTTACAAATGACACAAGCCTCATTTTACCCAGTTGGGTTTATGTTTCTTGAGACTGGGCTATTTTACATTTTGTTTCCCAAGATTTGCTGAGAGTTTAGTCAGTATTATTTAGTTGAAAGAACCAGCTATGGAGAAGTGATTTAAAAAAAAAAAAAAAGAGCCAGGTGTTGGTGGCACACGCCTTTAATCCCAGCACTCGGGAGCCAGAGGCAGGTGGATTTCTGTGCGTTCGAGGCCAGCCTGGTCTACAAAGTGACTTCTAGAATAGCCAGGACTGTGACACAGAGAAAACAAAAGCAAACAAAGTGAAAAAAAAATATACTTGAACATGTGAGTTCAGAATACTAAGGCTTGAGACACACTTAAGAGAAGGCTGTAATAACCTTAATCTGGAATGTTGCAAATATTTCAAAGAGTCTAAGGTGCACATGTTTCAGAGAAAGACACCAACTTTGTTTAGAATTGACTGACACCTGTAAAACATGAAAGATTTTATATCACCAGAAAGAGGATTTCGTTTTCTCAATTTTTAGATTTTTAAAAAAGTGATAAAAGGAAATTTCACTTATTATAAAACTTTTAAATGTTAAATAGGATCTAAGTAGTTAAAAGTAAGTAAACAAGATCACAAATTACTATTTCTATCATAGACTCAATTTTCTACCTCTAAGAAAGAAAAAAAAAAAGCTAAGTATGAGCCAGTAGTATTTCAAACGTCAGGTATTTAGAAGGCTCTGGTTTTTCCTCCTACCTCCTAGAAGACTCAAGGTTCATATAAAATTTAGTGTGTGTGTGTGTGTGTGTGTGTGTGTGTGTGTGTGTGTGTGTGTGTGTGTGTGTGTGTGTGTGTGTGTGTGTGTGTGTGTGTACTTGTGCATGCAAATTTTTATTCCTGATTTTCTTTGTTAGTGTTTGATTGTTGGGAGACAGGTTCTCACTTTGTAGCTCAGGCTGGCCCGAACTGGCCCAAACTCACTAAGTAGCCCAGGTTGGCCTCAGATGAAGCAGTCCTTTAGCGTTGACTTCCTAAGTCCTGTGATTATAGGCATGAACCACCATACTTGGCTTTATATTGTTTTTTAAAATAGATAACTCACTCACTCCTTGTACTTTTAGGAATGTGCTGTTTCTTCCTCCAGATCTCAATTGCACATTTATATACATGAAACTGAAGATTGGATATTTATATTTGTATATCTTAGATTACTTTATGTAAATTTGCATTTATCATAGCTTTTCCTGACTTAGTTAAGTGCCTGTTCTGATTTAAATAAAAAAAGTTTCAGAAAATTAGCACACATCAACAAGCTACATTTTGGGAGTTTAAATAATACCCCCCCCCCTTTTTTTTTAAAAGCAAAGTATAGTTGCTAAGTTAACAACTTTGCTGAAGTAACTGAGATCAGTAAGATTTTGAAAAGACTTGTCATGGGCTGGAGAGATGGCTCAGCATTTAGGAGCACTGGTGGTTCTTCCAGAGGACCCAGGTTTGATTCCCAGCACTCTCATGTTGGCTTACAATCATCTGTAACTCCAGTCCCAGGGGATCTGAATTGCTTTCTGGCCTCTGTGGCTTCCAGGCATTCACAGGATGTACATACATACATATCTCCAGGCAAAATATAGTTGCCATATTTCCTTAGGGAGCTTTTACTAACCTTCCTAGGTTTTCTATTGAAGTAAAACACCTGAACTTTTCTTATGTCTACATACATGTAAATTCAAAACATTTTTAAAATCTGGTATTAGAATAGAAAATACTTTACTTAGAATCTTAACATAAAAGATTATATTTTTATCTGAAATTTGAATAAAAGATAACTTAGTTAATAAGAATGTTGACATTCTATGAGTTGTTTGCCTTCACTTAGAATACCAGATTGTACATGATTTATTATGTTGGCTATTTGTAAAATATTTTAAATGAGTAAAATACATCTTTCTTTTTTAGGACAAAATGTTTCACTTTTGGGTAAATACATTCTTCATACCAGGACCAGAGGAAACATCAGAAAAAGTGGAGAATGGAAGTCTCTGTGATCAGGAAATTGACAGTATTTGCAGTATAGAACGTGCAGATAATGACAAAGAATATCTAGTTCTTACCTTAACAAAAAATGATCTGGACAAAGCAAACAAAGACAAGGCCAACCGATACTTTTCTCCCAATTTTAAGGTCAGTTAAAACCATTTTTGGGGTGGGAATGTGTGTTTTATTCTAAGTGTGTAGCTGAAGAACTTGGCTTCACTCATTTAAAACTAAACCTATGTTAGTACCCTTCAGTTTGTAACATTCCTAAGTGGTTGCCTAGCCTTTCCTTTTTCTATTTATTCCTCTACTGGCTCGTGTTCCTTCTCCTCTTTCTTTTCCTCTCCCTCCTCCTCTTCAGCCTTTCCTTTTTCCTTTCTTAATTCTGTTGTATTTGTTTCATTCACATGTAACAAACTTAAACATAGATTACGAGCATAATAATACTCCTAATACTTAAAATAGAGGTAGACAATTATATGTGTTAAGGGAAAATAGCACTACTATTCAGTGCTTTTGGATCTCAAGGTTGTTTTAAGTTTCCTAGAGGATCCTCAAGTTTTAATTTCCTTTCTTTTCTATAAGTTTATATTTCTCTCAACTGTTTTTCTGTTTTCTGGTTTTTTAGGTAGAGTCTTGCTATATAGGAACTGGCATTCCTCCTGCCTCACTTGGCAACCACTTGCTTTTAAGTGTATTTCTCTCTAGTTTTGCTGTTAATATTTCTCTGGCAATGTACCTGAGTGCTTGCCTAACATGGGTGATGACCCGAGTTCAACACCAAGTCCTACAAAAACAATCACTAAAATACAGTATAAAAAGAAAAAGTTATTGTCTATAAAAGCTATTTTCATTGTAACTGAACAAATATATCAAGGTAAGAACTATGGAACATGCAGAAGATGGCCTGGTCAAATGGATGATATGCAAACAGAGGTCTGAATGAAATGGGCAAACTAGCAGCTGTTTAGAAAAAGGAAGAGTAGATGCCAGAACCCTGAGGCAGCAATGAGCTTGATATATTTGAGTGGCCGAAGTCAGTTCCACTGAAAGCCACAAGAGAACCAGTCTTGATATGACAATGTGGAGTGTTTAGTATAGAAAAGGTATAATCTCAGTTTGTCTTTAAACATTCCGTTTACTCCCTTACATTGAGACTGGCTAGGAAACTAGGGAGAGGTTGCGGATGGAGGAAGGGGAATGAGTGGGAAAGGGAGCCCACTGGCAGCAAGTTCCTGCGTACAAGAGGTAGTGTTTGCATGGTCTAAAGTAATGGCAGGGAGGGGTGGTAAAATTAGCAAAATACTTTGAAGGGGGAACTTAAAGCAAATGTTGGTTATGAGAAGCTATAGATAAAGATCCTGTTTAAATCCAGCCTCCAATTCACCAGGTATTGTCCTTTAACATGGTGCCTAGGCTTCTGGGTCTTTGTTCCTTTTCCTTTAAAATGGAAATACTAAGTGAGTTTTACTGTGGCCATGCACACATGGAAAGACTCTTGACCCACTCTTTAGACCATTGTTAGCGTCCTCCATTCTCTATTTAGGTGAGGGTTTTAGGGCTAATAGATCTTGAACACATTATTATCAATCAGTGTTTGTATAGTACTACTAATAAAAAAAATGGTCTCAGATAGAGATAAAACAGAAATGTCTTAGAAACTTAAGGATTTGTAAATTGATTTTTGTGATTGAAAAGCATATGTAGTGAGTTCCTGAGATCATTGCCTTCATTTTGCATTTCTTTTATAGAATTATATAGCTTATGCTTCTTTAAAAATAGTAATTGACGTGTCAGTGCACAGTAGGCAATCTCATGGTCATTTGAAAAGCAGTACTTTTCAAATTCATGTTTGTTACAGTACTTTCAAAGTGAATCTGTGGAAGTAAATGCCTTTGCTAATGTAAAACTCATTGTAACTGTTCATTCTCATCTTAAACTTTCTTTCTCTAGGTGAAATTATACTTTACAAAAACAGTAGAGGAGCCATCAAATCCAGAGGCTAGCAGTTCAACTTCTGTGACACCAGATGTTAGTGACAATGAACCTGATCATTATAGATACTCTGACACCACTGACTCTGATCCAGAGAATGAACCTTTTGATGAAGATCAGCATTCACAAATTACAAAAGTCTGATTTTTTTTTATCAAGAGGGATAAAATACCATGAAAAAAAAAAACTTGTAAAAAAAAAAAATTTAAAAAACTGAAATGGGCTTTTTTTTTTTTTTTTTTTTTTAAATGGCAATAGGACATTGTGTCAGATTGCAGTTATAGGAACAATTCTCTTTTCCTGACCAATCTTGTTTTACCCTATACATCCACAGGGTTTGACACTTGTTGTCCAGTTGAAAAAGCTTGTGTAGCTGTGTCATGTATATACCTTTTTGTGTCAAAAGGACATTTAAAATTCAATTAGGATAAATAAAGATGGCACTTTCCCATTTTATTCCAGTTTTATAAAAAGTGGAGACAGACTGATGTGTATACGTAGGAGTTTTCCTTTTCTTTTCTGTCACCAGCTGAAGTGGCTGAAGAGCTCTGACTCCCAGGTTCACGTCCTACCTACCCCTTTGCACTTGTGGCAACAGATAAGTTTGCAGTTGGCTAAGAGATGTTTCTTACAGGGTTTCGCTAAATTCTAATGCATGTACTTGGGTTGAGGGAATGGAGGGGATGCTCAGAAAGGAATATTTTTAGCTGGGCTCTGGACCATATACCATCTCCAGCTACTTACATGTACCTTTCTTTAGCATGCTACAGTTACTAATCTGGACATCCAAGAAATTGGCCGCTGTCACTGCTTGTTGTTTGTGCATTTTTAAGAGCATTATTGGTGCTAGAAAAGGCAGCTAGAGAGATTCAATTTGTATTGGGGTATAGGAATGAACCTTCTACAGCATCTTAAGAATCCACAAATGAAGGGATATAAAAATAACATGGTCATGGATAAGAGACACAGCAACGATGACTTAACCATACAAATGTGGAGGCTATCAACAAAGAATGGGCTGGAAACAGAAAAATTGACAATGATTTATTCAGTATGCTTTCTCAGTTGTAATGACTGCTCCATCTCCTCTGTAATCAAGGCCAGTGCTAAAAGTCAGATGCTATTAGTACCTACATCAGTCAACAACTTACATCTATTTTCATTAATTTTCAATCATATACCCACTGTGGATGCTTCATGTGCTGGCTGCCAGTTTCTTTTTCTCGTTAAATAGAAAACATTGTGTAATTCTTCACAGGAAATTACAATTTGAGATTCATCAGTAAGCGGTTTTTTTCTGTAGAGATGGATGATGCACTTAGTCCAGTAGCTGTCAGATGCCCCACCCTTTTGACCTTACACATTCTATTACAATGAGTTTTGCAGTTTTGCACATTTTTTAAATGTCATTAACTGTTAGGGAATTTTACTTGAATACTGAATACATATAATGTGTATATTAAAAAAGTCATTGTTTGTGTTAAAAAAGGAAATTAGAGTTGCAGTAAATTTTCAGCACTGCACGAATAATAAGGCATTTAAGTTTTTCAGTAGAAATTGTCCTACAGATGCTTTATCGACTTGCTATTGAAAGAGTAGATCTTTTTTAATGTGCAGTGTTGAGTCACTTCTTTATAGTGGTAGAGTTGGGATTAGGGCTTCAATTTTACTGCTTAAATATCATTATATGTTGGATATGCCCAGACTGCATACAATTTAAAGCTCGAGTACAACTACTATTGTAATGGTAATGTGAAGATACTATTAAAGAGGATTCTTTTTTCCTGGGAATTTGGTGTCTTTCAAATTAGACCTTGACCTTGACATTTGAATATCCAGCCATTATATTTCTTAATGGTGTGAAGTCCCATTTTCAATAACTTATTGGTGCTGAAATTGTTCACTAGCTGTGGTCTGACCTAGTTAATTAACAAGTACAGATTGCGTAGGACCCACCAGAGAAGCATTTATAGTTTGATGGTAAGTAGATTAGGCAGAACATCATCTAAAATATTCTTAGAAAATAATGTTGGTGTATTTTCCATACCTCATCAGTTTCACTCAACCAATAAAATTTTTAAAATTGTAACTAAGCTCTTAGGATTTACACATTTATATTTAAACATTGATACATGAATATTGATCGACTGTTGATAAAGTGATAAAGTTAGAGACAACTTTTCCTAAGATCTCACCATTGAAATTTGTATACCACCTTGTCTTTCCTAAAAGCTGAAAGTGGTTGACTAAAATGAGAAGCAGCTATTGGTGTTTTGGAGATAGTGATGAACACTGTTCTTTGTTAGTTTTGGGCACAGCATGCTAAACTATAACTTGTATTGTTCCAATATGTAACACAGAGGGCCAGGTCATGAATAATGACATTACAATGGGCTGTTGCACTGTTAATATTTTTCCTTTGGAATGTGAAGGTCTGAATGAGGGTTTTGATTTTGAATGTTTCAGTGTTTTTGAGAAGCCTTGCTTACATTTTATGGTGTAGTCATTGGAAATGGAAAAATGGCATTATATATATATATATATTATATATATAAATATATATGATACATACTCTCCTTACTTTATTTCAGTTACCATCCCCATAGAATTTGACAAGAATTGCTATGACTGAAAGGTTTTTGAGTCCTAATTAAAACTTTATTTATGACAGTATTCACGATTAGCCTGAAATGCATTCTGTAGGTAATCTCTCCCGTGTTTCTGGAATGCTTTCTTAGACTTTTTGGATGTGCAGCAGCTTATGTGTCTGAAATGACTTGAAGGCATCACCTTTTAAGAAGGCTTACAGCTGGGCCCTGTACCATCCCAAGTCCTCTGTAATTCTTCTTGGACATTTTTGCCATAATTGTAAAAGGGTAGTTGAATTAAATAGCATCACCATTCTTTGCTGTGGCACAGGTTATAAACTTAAGTGGAGTTTACCGGCAGCATCAAATGTTTCAGCTTTAAAAATAAAAGTAGGTTACAAGTTACATGTTTAGTTCTAGAAAATTTGTGCAATATGTTCATAACGATGGCTGTGGTTGCCACAAAGTGCCTCGTTTACCTTTATATACTGTTAATGTGTCATGCATGCAGATTCCAGGGGTGGAACTGTGCACTAAACCGGGGGCTTTTACTGTAGTATTTGGCAGAGTTGCCTTGTACCTGCCAGTTCAAAAGTTCAATCTGTAGTCTGTAAAACAGCCTTACTCTGGTTCAGCCTCTTCAGATACTCTTGTGCTGTGCAGCAGTGGCTCTGTGTGTAAATGCTATGCACTGAGGATACACAAGTATGACGTGTACAGGATAATGCCTCATGCCAATCAGATGTCCATTTGTTACTGTGTTTGTTAACAACCCTTTATCTTAGTGTTATAAACTCCACTTAAAACTGATTAAAGTCTCATTCTTGTCATTGTGTGGCTGTTTTATTAAATGAGAGTATTTATAATTCAAATTGGTTAAACCCATTGAAATGTCCAGTAATGGGCAGCCAAATATGACTACAAAGTTACTGTAGGTTTTTTCATATTTTTTTTTTCCTCCTAGATATTCTTCAAAGCCGACTATTAGAAAAGCATGGTTTTTGTCAGCTCCGGAGTAGATTTGTATCTGTCTACTCATGGTTAAGAGAAGCTCTTTGAGCCTTAGTTAGTCATCACGTCATAAATTGTTCCAGGCACAGTAAGGAATATTTTAATCTTGAAGAAGTTGAAGGTTTTTGGAAAATGGTGTTTTTTTTTTTTTTTTTTTTTAATAAAGCCAGATGTCTAAAGATAGCCCCCGCCCCCCACCCCCATGGGCTTGATGTCTCAGGTCTGTTCTGTTCTGTTCTGTTCTGTGGCTTTCTGCAGTTGGCCATCAGCACATGGTCGGCTTCATCAGGACTCGTCCCATGTGAAGATGGATGTTCAGAATAGTGGGCTCAAATAGGATCTTGTTTCTGATATCCTTAAAGGTTAAAGAGTAAGGCATATCCTTTCAACAGTAAGATAATGTGTAACAATGTAGTTTGTACAGATGTTTTGAAAGTAAGCAGACCACATCACTCTGAAAAATTTTAGGGTTACCTAAAGTTTATAGTTTCTCTGTGACCTTTTTTAGAAAGTAAATTGAGTGATATAACTATAAAAAGAAATTTGAAGATTCACACATTTTTCTTTAGAATTCTTAGGTAGTGTATATGGGCTAAAACTTGAATATAAAAGTATTTTGACTCATGAGATGTTTGAAAACCGGAGTTTCTTGGCACTTTGCTTTTAGATCATGTCCATTCCATTCTACTGTAATTTGAGCTGACTTGGTTCAGTGAATGCCATCACCATTTCCATTGAGAATTTAAAAATCACCAGTGTAACATGCAGGCTTCTGAAAGGCTCCCCAAAAATCAAGACCCATAAGTCCAGCTAACCTACTTCTAAGACACATCAAAAGTAGAGTCTTAAATGGCTTGTGGGTAGTTTTTGTTTAACAGTGCTATTTCGAGGGCAGAGAGAAACGTTGCTGAATGGAAACAATAGTGCCCAGTCCAGTCTGGTGCGGTTGAACAGTACCTTAAATCCCACCCTCAGGTCAATGGAACACTTTTAAAGTAGGAGCCTTAAAAGGCTGATTTTCCTATGGAATTACATTGCAACAGGAAGCCTACTGGTATAGTTCCTTTTAATGTTAGAACACGTTTTTATGGTTATAGTTTGGCTGTTTTCCCATCTTTGAACAGGTATTAGGATGTGGGTGGGTACACTTAGAAAGTGAAGACAGCAGGATAATGTCATCAATAACAGTCCTCTAGCTCCTAATTTAGCTGTTCTGAGAATTCTTTCCCTACATAAGATCATGACAAGTCCCTTGCCTTTGGAGGCATACCCCATGTTATTAAGTATGTTTTAGCGACTAAACAATCATTTTTTTTTTTGTTTACTCATGTACTTTTTTAAACCTAATTTTGTACTGTGTATGTCTCCAAAGCTTCTTAGCTTAATTTTAGGACATGGACACTGATTGGGTCATTTTTAGTACAGCAGGTATGGAATATGTGCATTATAGAGACCTTTCCAGTTCTGTGAGTCTACCTGAATGTTTATTGTTGGCGTGAGGATGGCGAATAAGTAAGCTCAGTTACATTGGTTTAGCAGAGTAAGCTTAATGTGGACATTTCTCTTCAAGAACAATTTCAAAGTAGGGTGTGTGAAGCACTGCATGAGCGGTGACAGTGACCTTTTACTCTATTCCTCTTGTAGTTTGCAAATGGTTGTTCGGTTTAGAGCAAATTTGTATCTAACCCTGCCCCCTAAGTAAAAGCAAGAACTACTACTGATTTATTATCACCCAGCTGTCGATATGTGTGCGCCTGTGACTCGCCTCACATGAGACTCTTAATTGTTCACAAATCACTACCGTTTAGCTCTGAGTGTTTAGTATTGTGGGCTTATAACAAATTCTGACAGTCATTTGAGAATTTTCATGAAACATTTTGCTGAAAGCATTTTATAATTTATAAGAAAATGTGTTATCTTAAGATACTTACGTATATGGGAGACATTAACTGCCATTTTTGAGCATACTGCATTTTAAAATAAAGCTGCATATTTTTAATGAAGTGTTTAACAAGGATTTATATTTTTTGTTTTTTTTTTAAGATTAAAAATAACTTATGTCTTATTGTGTGGGATCTCCTCTGTCACAATGATTAGATTTATGTAGACTAGAGCAAGGCGTGTGTTTCAGCTTATGGTAAAATGCTTCATGTTTAAATGTATTCACTTACTGGCTGTCATGTATGCCTTTGAGATTGTCTGTTTTGTGCAGTTGTCTAAATGATACTCATACACTTAGAAATACCATCTTAGTACCTATTTCTGTCTCCATTAAATTACCCCCATTCTCTACTGAGTTTGCAGGCGTGCACATTTGTGTGTGTGTGTGTTTGTGGGGTGTGTATGGGAGAGTTAGTTTTGTAAGTGCTAGAATAGAAATTTGGTTCAAGCAAAATTTTCTCACTGGGATTCTGCAGTTCATTGTAATAAAATGTTAATCTTGGATGATCTTGAATATTAACGAATTTGTCAGTAGCCTCTTGATGTGTTCATTAATAAGATATATCAAAGTTGTACATTAAACCAAAGTTGGAGTTGTGGAAGTGTTTTTTTATGAAGTTCCGTTTGGCTACCAATGGACATAAGACTAGAAATACCTTCCTGTGGAGAATATTTTTCCTTTAAACAATTAAAAAGGTTCATTATTTTTGATGATTTGTTTCTTAGCTTTTTATTCATCACTCTGCTGTGAATAACAGGTACTTGGAATGTTATTGAGCAAAAGAGGTGCATCCAGTCCTGGGGGAGTTTAGACTCTATGGAGTAAACTACTTCAAAGCTGTGGGGTGTGCTGGGAAGTGTGAGGTGCACATGGTACACTGTGCAGATCTCCAAACAGTCTGTGGCACCCCATATTTCCATCCCTTGAGAGTTTCCATACATCCTGCTTATTAGCACATTCCAGTGGAATAGCCACAAAGTGCTGAGACACTTCCAAGTAAAAGCAGTGAGAAATCCCTATACCATCTCATCTTTTTCTTTCCCTATTGCAGTGACTTGAAGTATGTCCTATTGTACAATGTCATGGCTCTGTCAGCCCAATTCTTGAGATACTACATGGAGTAGAACTCTTGAAGTTCTTCCTCCACCCTCTTCAAACAAGTTAGCCTAACCAAGAAGCAATCACATTAATATTTTGGGATAATACATCACTAGGGTGTAGTTTAAATAATGTGCTTCAAAAAACTTAAG